TTTTTTTTTTTTTGAAGCAACTCTGGGGAGACTCAAACAGCCCTTCTTTCTGTTATTAGATTTAGTTTTTATTTGTTTGTACCACCTCGGGGCTACCTATTTTTTAATATAGTGTTCAAAAATAAAAAAAAACAGTCTATTATTCAATATAGATTATGTATTTTTATTTCTATGAACAAACAATTTACCTGTGTTTTTAGTCAAGTATCTTGCAATTGCTAGACTCTGGTGAAGGGCAAGTCCATCCACTTCTAATACAGGAATCTTACCAAATGGGAGAGCTTAAAATAAAACAAAGAATTAATTTCCATAACAAAGCCACAAGCTGTAACACCTGTTTTTACTAGCATTTTGAGCAGGTTCATCCTGCTTCAGCTGAGAGTTTACATTTCCACCTCAGATATGCTGAACCAAATATCACCATTTTAACTAGATCCTCAGATGACTCTGATTTAGCATATCTGGGTGGAAACAGCAAAATTATAGCTGGGGTCACATGAGAATAAGCCAGTTTCCAGTTAAAAATTATACTATGATTAACTATGCAACACTATTGTATCTTACACACTTCTTACCTTAAAACAAAAACAACTTTTTGTTAGGGGAGGAATTTCATCTCCCCTTGTGATAACTTGGCTAGAACACCCTTCTCTGTGGCTTGGCACTTTTGTAATGATGTAATGTGACAGTTATGTAATCATACCTCATGACCCCATAATGTGATGTGAAGTGATAAGCCAGTTCATTTTAAGAGGTTTAAAGATGCGATGTCCCCTTAATACCATTATAGCCTGGGTCCCAAGGAATGGGGAACTTCCCTGGGGTGTGGCCTGCAACTGTTGTTTTTCAATTTAAATCTACAGGAGTTTTCTTTAAAAAAAAACAAACCCAAATTTTGTTTTTTCATTTTCCAGAGAAAAGACAAAGGATGCTGACAGTTGCTTTTCATGAACTATTATTTGTGGTACTTACTTGATTTGATTTCAGGCCAGTCAGCTTGTTCTATTCTGTGGTCTTCATACTTTTTGTCCAAATAGGCAAATATATAGCGAATAATTTCTGCTCTCCCCCTCATATTAAAATAAGTGAGTTTGTAGTGTGGCATAGTGCAGTTCTGCAAAAAGAAAGGAAAGATTACATAACAGCCCTTTAGGAACGTGTCAACGTTTTCTTCTGGTCCTCTTTTGAAACTTTCTGCTATCTTTCGAGATTACTGGGGAGTTCAGGGGATATCTCCCAACTAAAATTACAAGTCACTCTCCTATGAGCATGCTGGAAGGACTTGATAGAAATAAGACCACGCCTCTCCTCAGTTATAGAAGTTCTTCTCAGCGCCCAGTGAAATAACCAGTCAAATTTTATGAAAAATGCATCAGATTAAAAACCTACCCACACATTTACTTAACCTTTAGAGATTGATATAAAAATCTTTAAAAAAAATCAAACTACATTTTAAGATGCTTTTGTCCTGCTGTTAATCTCTTAGCATATGTGACTCTTTAATGTTGCTCTTTTTCTTTGGTCATGCAGGTATCTCAGGATGTGTGAGGACAGCTGGGTAGAAATTGGGTGACGTGCAAAAGACATAAGCTGGGCCCACCTGTCATCTTCATCATTCCTCCAACCATGGTTTTCCATCTAGGAAGTGAAACCAAACTCAGTGCCATCTAGTCTGACTCACAGAAACCCTGTAACATCCTCTCTTCTCTCCTTTATTATATTCTCGTGAGTTTTATTGAGTTGCTTGCACCACACAAACAACTCAGTTTGGTTTCTTCTATTGAGATGGATAGTGGCTAGCATCTTCCTCCAGTCTTTCTTCACAGGAAGAAAATAAATTTACTTGCTATTGAGAAATTTGCTAAACCCAGTTATATTAGTTAGATGTACATTGTTATAAGTTCATGATTGTCTAAGACTGGATAGTGTCATTTTTATTATTTCTAACCAGTGATTTCTAAGATCTTACGGAAGAACATGTTGTAATTTTATAATGAGAAAAGCATTTTTATTTGAAATTTAGTTCTGCCACTTACTTTGGGGGACACGATAGCACAATCTCCCTGAATTCCAATGCGCGCTTTTCATTTTTCCTTTTTTTCACCAGTAGTTTCATTGCAATAGAATTCAAATAACATACACTCCCATAGTTAAGTCACTTTTAAAGAGTTGTATATACAGCATCAGAATCAGATCTAGCGTACCCTCCACTCAATGCCCTCTTTTTATACAAAAAGAAATGAATATGGATTTGGGTATTTTAAAAGGTAATGCATGAAATGCACTTAATACAAATGCTGAACATGCATTACTAATAATCAATATTTCAGCTCAGTAGTCAAGAATTTAAATACTGTGAATATAGTGCACTAATAATAATTACCATCAAGTAATTAATTACTTAAAGTGATGAGTTTAGTTGATTGTCTTCAGAAGAAGTTTTTTAAAGACCATTCATAGAATATTAGATAAAAGGAAAAGTTGGAGTTAGCTTCAAAACAAAGTTCTATCTAGCATTAAATCAAACTCAAATGCATGCATTCTTGAGGACTACAGATAGAGATGATGGCCAGAAAAGAATTCTGGTAGTTTATCTGGAGTTACTCAAGGGCCAGGGAATCATGCTTCATTATCTAGTGCTACCAGTAGTAAAATGTACCACAAGGGGTGGCTTTAAAGAACAAACTACCCACCCCCTTAACCCCCCCTTCGCTCCAGGAGGTTGAAAGTCTAAATTCAGGGTGTCAGCTCTAGAGGTATAGTGCTTTGTCTATCTCAGCGTCTAGTGGTTGCAGGTAATCCTCATGTGACTGGGCTTGTAGGTGCATATGCCATGTGTGTCTATCTTCACAAGACATCTCCCTCTCATGTTCCCTCTTTTTAAGAAGAGACACTCAAAAAATAATTAGGTTTAGGGCCCATCCTACTCGAATATGACTTCATTAACATAAGAAGGGAAAACCTCAAGGTTATACTTACAGGTACAGATATTTGGACTTCCACTCCCCCACCCCCACCCCCCAATCACCACCTTTACCTCTTTATTGTGAATTGGATGAAGATTTACACAGCAATTCACTTTCAGTGCAACAATTCATACTTAATTCCATGCCGTTAATTACGAACCTCACACTGTCACATCACTTCCTCCTGGTGTTTCCCATGCCCAGTTCTTCTTCCCTAACCCTTCTGAATTTTTGTCGTGGGCACCTGCTCTGCTGATCACAAATGGCTGATTATTCTAAGAAGAGCAGAACTCCTTGATGATTCTGTTTCCCTGGCAGACTTACAGCAATGCTTCCCAACCTCCCTGATGCTGTGACCCTTTAGTACAGTTCCTCATGTTGTGGTGACCCAACCATAATGTTATTTTCATTGCTACTTCATAACTAATTTTGCTACTGTTATAAGTCGGACAGCCCCTCTGAAAGGGTTGTTCAACCTCCAAAGGGGTTGCGACCCACAGGCTCAGAACTGCTGCTTTATAGGGCACATTCTTCCATTGAGTAAGTTCTGGGAGTCCTACCAGTACCTATGATTTTTTTTGTCCCATATTTTCTACTTTATCCATGACTTCCTAAAGTGATCTCTTTCTGAGCAGTTGGTAGTGATGCCTGGGTACCATCTAGTACTTCCGGTCTCAGGGTCATGGAAACTGCTATTCATGTGGTCCATTAGACCATCAGAATAGTAGTTTTTTTGGTTGTTGTTTTTTTTAACCCTTTTATTTGGGACTCATACAACTATTTTTTATCACAATCCATACATTCATCCATTGTGTCAAGCACATTTGTACATTTGTTGCCATCATCATTCTCAAAACATTTGCTTTCTACTTGAGCCCTTGGTTATCAGCCCATTTTCCCCCTCCCTTCGAAACCCTTGATAATTTATAAATTATTTTTTCCTGTCTTACACTGCCTGATCTTGCCCTTCACCCACTTTTCTGTTGTTCTTCCCCCAGGGAAGGGGTTATATGTAGATCCATGTGATTGGTTCCCCCTTTCTACACCACCTTACCCTTACCCTCCTGGTATCACTACTCTCATTGGTCCTGAGGGATTTGTCTGTCCTGGATTCCCTGTTTCCAGCTCTTATCAGTACCAGTGTACATCCTCTGGTCCAGCTGGATTTGTAAGGTAGAATTGGGATCGTAATAGCGGGGTGGGGAGAGGGAGGAAACATTAAAGAACTAGAGGAAAGTTGTATGTTTCATCAGTGCTATACTGCACTGACTGGCTTATCTACTCCCCAAGACCCTTCTGTAGGAGGATGTCTAGTTGTCTACAGATGGGCTTTGGGTGTCCACTCCACACTCCCCCGTTTCACAATGATTATTTTTTGTTCTTTGATGACTGATACCTGATCCTATCAACACCTCATTATCACACAGGCTGGTGTTCTTCTTCCACGTGGACTTTGTTGCTTCTCAGCTTGATGGCCACTTGTTTATCTAGAATAGTAGTTTCTATGTCTCTCTCTCTCTCTTTTTTACTCTTCTTTCCTCCTAAAGTGGAGCCACCAACAGTTACAGTAGATGACTTCTGAGAGGATTCTCCCTCTCTCCACATATTAATGAATTTACTCCCTCAAACTGAAGCCAGAGTTCACTGAAGGGAGTCCTAGTAGAAAGAACAGGTCTGGGAAAAAGCCACTGTGGGAAGCTGAAGAGCTGAGGGGCATTACTGCTGGTGTGGTGGTCTTCCAGCAGGCATGACTGGAACACATTCCCCTCCAGGATATTCAGCCAATAAGACCCTTATACGGACAAGCTCCCCTAAGAATATCGGTGCCCTTGCACAAGTGGCCAGCCACTCCATGCATTCTGGTTTTCTTCCAGGAACATCAAGGAAGTCTTCGCTTAAGAGGCTGTCCTGTCTCCAATGAATGAACTTAGACTGGGTCCCTTGGTGTCCAGCAGCACTGGGAGCCTTACCCTGTGACCCCATTACTTGAAGGTCTTGCTAAGGTTGGAGGAGTCAGTGCTCACGTGGATCATCAGCAATAGCTCACGTGGATCATCATGAGCTCAAGACCCTTGAGCTCATCACTGCAGGACCGGTTTCCATTGTAAACATAATCTGGAGAAAGTTCTTCGAATGCCGCCCAAATTCTATTGTGTAGGGGCAGAGTCGTCCCAGGAGGCCTTTGGCAACGCCCTGATGTTGAAGGGTCATGAACAGCAGAGCCTCCAGTCCACACCGCCACCTTCCCGGAGATAAAGCTTTTCATGGGATCTGGTAGACAGAGGTTGACAGGAACTTGTTGAGGGTGCTCCTTCCAGAATCCACGCTCCAGCTGGCCATCTGAGGGGTCACTCAGAGCCCTCCCTCGTGGGCTGCGATCTACCAGGTCAGCAGTTCGAAACCACGAGCCCAACTCTGTGAAGTGTTAAAGTCTTGGAAAATCACAAAGGCAGTTCTACCCTCCTTTAGGGTCACTAAGAGTGGCATCGACTCCACGGCAGTAAATTTGGTATTGGTTTTGGTGAGAAGTATGGGCGCCAGGGCTCTCCTGGCAGGACGTGAGAAGAAACTTGGCTATCTCCTGTAGGGGCCATCCGTGGCCACACAATCTCCATAGCTCAAAAGACTGGCCCTTCCAAAGCAGGAAGGCTGTTGGCCGGGTCATGGGCGCCGTCTCACAGAACGACGCGCACGGGCGCTCCCGGGCCTGCAAGGAAGAGCCCATACTGCGCAGGGTGTGCCCCGCGGAGCTGGTAGTGCTGAGTCATGCCCGTTTGGTTATCTCAATCCGAGAGCCGTTCGGGATTCTGTCCGACAGCCTTCCGAAGCTGTCCTCAAAATCTCCACAGGCCGCGCTGTAGTGTCCCCGGCCGAGTCTTGAGGACCTAGACCGGGCGCCCTACTCTGCACAAGAAGGTCCCGCGCTCGCGGAGGCAAGAAAGTGTTTCGGCAGAGTGCCGTAAAACCCCAGAGCGCCGTAAACCCCTCCGCGGGTGCCGTAAACCGCGGCGGTGGGGGCGGGGTCGCTGCCGGCGTGGCCACGTGGAGTGGAGCCGGCCCTTGAGCTGCGAAGACTCCCGTTGCTCCCTGCGGAAGTGGAATGGAGCGAGCCGTCTTTGTGAATCAGCTCACAGTTCTT